CCAAAAACACCCCCAAAACCAAAAACGTGTATCTAAAGTATCCAATAAAAAAGGAGCACTAAATGGAATAAAATGTTCCCTTTCCCCATTTTTACATTCTGAACAGTGATTCCATCAAGATATTTTATTACATGTAAGTACACTGATTGTGTTTCATACTTGTGACAAGAAGGCCTGAGTTGGTGGGGAAAGGAACAGTCAGAAAAAGCCTGAGGGAAAAAAGCTCATTTAATTAATTTACAATAATTTACAGCCATTTGTTTCTGTGTTTTGTTTTTTATTTTTTGTTTGTTTGTTTTGTAAAAAGGCATTATAACTGATCACAAACAGGAGAAATCCTGGCTATTTTACAGTTATAGGTACAGAATTTAAATATTCAAGCTTGTGATGAAAAGCGGCAAGGTGGTCGCAGTGTACAATGTAAACAAGTAGCTTTGGAAAGTGAACAAAGTCCTTGAGAATTCTTTACTAAGAAACAAAAGAAAATAAACTCCTCATTCCTTCCTGAAATATGAGCACAGGTCAGTGTTTAAAAGTTCATTTACAAACATAATTTAAAGTGTGTTCAGCCTAAAACCACTTTGACATGAAGCATTTTATAGTAAGATCCAGTCTGAAAGGGGCAGTGTTGAGGTCCCTGTAAAAGTAAACATCTTCCATTTCTTAAAAAAAGAGTGCCACAACATTTGCAGCACAGTGCAGCATAAACTTTAAATACAAAAATATTTTTCTTCTGTTGGGATAATAGACCTTGCATCCTGGAAAGAAGTAACAATACCGCTACTGATAGAATATCCAGTCCGTATCTTTCAAGTCATGTAAGGCAATTACTGTGTTAGTTTACTGTATATGGCTAAAAGAAGGTCCAGAAAATGTCAGTCTTCGTTATGTTTTCCGGCTACTCCATGTATGTTCAGGTGTACTTTTGTGATCTGATGAGTGTTCAAATGGAGATCTGTGTCCTAGGGGAGATCTTGAACCATAAGGAGACCTCTGATCTAATGGTGACCTTGGGCCACTACCCGAAGCTCTGTGGTCCATTTGCCAGTCTGAGTGGTACCTATAATCTCTAGAAGATTTATGATGGCTGTACTCTGAGGTGGAACGGTGATCTGAATGTATCCTATGGTCTGAATGGGAACGGTGATCTGAATGAGCCCGGCTGTCTTTTAAACTTCCTTCCAGGTTTGACCTATGGTCTCTGCTCCTGTAGTCATCTAACTTTCTATGTTTACTATCGCTGTAGTATCTAAAAAATAGAAATTATTTCTATTAGTGTTGGTGAACAAATATTAAGAGCCACAATTATGTCAAATCAACAGAACTGCATTATAGAGATATCTTTGCAATTTTGCATTGAGTAATGCAAAAGAAGATGTTTTGGTGCTTGCTGCAAGCATACTACAAAAACAGGAAGGGAATTCTGAACAGATTTTAAAATTGCTGAAGAAACTTACCTGCTGTCTTGTTTGTAGTGATCCCAGTCTCTGTGATCTTTTCCATTGCTGAAGGCTGAATATGGCCTTTTTCTAGACTCATTTTTCTTGTAAGCATCTCCCTGATGCCTGTCTTTATGATGATCGTGGTATTGTGAAGCATGTCTATCAGAAGAGTAACTGTCCCTGCTACTGTCATCATGGTTTGTATTCTCCTTTAGTCTTTCCACATCTGTTTAATAAAGCAGAGGTTAAAAGAAAATCTGATAAAGTCTCTTCTTCACCTAATTCAAACAGCACTTCTGTCAGATCTAAAGCACTATGAAAGTGACATTATAATTTGACAGAAACAAGATCTAAATCGTTGAAAGACAAATGCACTAATGCAAGTCAACTGAAAGAAACCTAGAAGTAAGAGGGAAGCAAGCTAGAATGTTGATGTATAGGACTTGGAAACTGAACTTTTCAACCTCTCCATTCAGTCTGTGAAGCTAAATGTGGTCCAAATGAGCAGGGAGTAGGGGTACCTTTAGTAAAGCAGTTTTAGACAGAATGGTAGCAACTTCCTTTCTAAGAAGGGATGGCCTTAGTATGAGTAAGAATTTTAAAGGTACACCTTGTTAATGGAAGACTTTCAGTGGTATTCCTAAAATACAGTATGCTGATTATAAGTCCATGAATATATACTTGAAGTGTTACACAACACAAGATAAAAGCAAGTATTATACAATGAGACAGGTGAGGGAGCATAGAAAAATCAGTTATTGTCAACAATACCAGACAGAGCATGTAACTAATTACAAACCTCAAGGAATAGCTTGCTTTCTTACACAGTAGTGACATTACAACAGCTACAAACAGGCACAGAATTTCCAAGAAATGTACAGGTTTTGAGTAGACCTCTCTCCCTCCCCCAAATTAAACATAAAAACTGCTTCCAAAATTTTTTTAAAGTATGGTCAAAACTTGCTACTAAAACCAGGAAGTAATAGCTTCAGTCTGCCCTCAGCTGGATTTCATCAGCAAACTAGTAAAGTTTTACTGATCAGCCTATCTCTGATACTTAGCAGTGTGGGAGACAGATCTAGGAGACATGTGAAATGCAATAAACGTGAAAACTAAGATATCTAACACAAGAATAAACTCAAGGTTTCTTACCTGGATTTCTAATTACATGTGTATTCACATTGCTGCTAATATTCTGGTCATTGTGTTGCTAAAAGACACAAGTACAAAAACTCATTGCTAAATCCCAAAGTTCATCTGAATTCATTAGAAAAATATCGTAACAAAAGAGACTACTTTACTGAAAACACAAATGCTACTTGAAGTGTATTTCTATGTTCATTATAATCCTTTAAATCTAATAAAAGAGTTGTAATACTTAAAATATGTATTTGTATATTTAGAAAGGGTCTGAAAACATTACCTGAGACTCTTGGCGTTTTTTGATTGCATGTTTATACAGTTTGTGCAACTTTCTGGCATCAAATTCTGTAAACTTAGAGACAAAAATCCACAAATTCCTGAGGAAAAAGAAAAGAGCAGTTATAATTCTTCTATACATTTGTTTTTCTTGTATTATGCAACAGAACATGAATTTAACTGAAATTATTTAAACAGTACTTCAGTAAACCAGAAACACTATAAAATTTACACAGTATTGCCTAGCTGCACAGCAAACATTACCTAGCTGTATTTCAAACATTTGAAAGATTAATTCCTTTAACAGTTTGCCATTTTGTAATATTTATTGTAAGTACTTCAGAGTGCAAAGTGCATGGAAAGTAGTACTAATAACAACTGTGTTACTAGAATGATTTGTGAAACTGCTTAAAAATGTTATCAGTTTATGTACGTCTTCTGAAAGTTTGTTTGAATTTTGAGTATTTACCACTCAGTAAATAAAAATTTAGGTAAGTAAAGTAAGTTAAAAAAAACCTTGAAATCTCTTACAGTTTAAGACATTTGACCTACAAGCCTCATTTAATGAAAATATCAGTGAGAAGTTTTCCACAGAATTCCAAAGCCTGGTCAAAGCTTTTGAAACCAAATGAGAACTGTGACAGAGGATGGAAGTGGCATGACAATAAATTTGTGCCTAATCTGTGCTTGAAGGAATGAAAGAAGAACAAATTTAAGTGTTTTGCTGTCAAGATGCCAAAACCCTGAAGAAAACATTTGCTTCTATCATCACAGGTAACAGATCTGAAGTCCAAGAGACTACAGAATACTAGTGTTCAGAAGTATCTGAAGCATGCAGGCTCAGGAAGCAAATTTGCTCCTTCACTGTGTTTATTTTAGCATTATTAGTTAAACATTGTAATTTTGGTCTAGAGGTTTACAAAAGTAGACAGTCAATGGTGTGCCTAATGACACCTGTATAACTTTATATAAGCTAAGTAGCTGAACTACACTTCTTATCAAAGATAGCTGAAATATGTATTTTAATAACCTATATGTAATGTTGTAACATTATTATGAATAATTGCTCTATTAAGAGTTTCTATGTAAAGCAAGGTAGCATTTACCAAAATGTAAGACATGGATCTTGTTTGTATATCTCGGATCGCCTTAATATTTTGAAGTAAAGCAAGTAAAAACAGCAGAAGCATTCTATTCTAGCAGAAATCTTCAAGAAAATGAAACACTTAAGACTTTTGTATATGGAAGTGCAGGATGTATTTGCAATCACAGAAGATTAGAAGTGCACATTCTGAGGAAGGTAACTCAAATTGCATTAGGACCTTAACAATGAAATATAAGAAGTTTGCAAACCAACAATTTTTCTTATTTTTTTTTAAATTGTCACCTCATAGAGATGCAAACTCCTCTTTCATTTTTGAAATACATCCGAGTACATTATGACAAATACTTTTATCAAGTCATAGTTAATATGTGATTTAATTTTAGACTATATTTTAGAATAAAGAATTCTGCAACTCAAAATCAGACAAAGTTCAGCACAAATTTAAAATTGCCTATTTTTAGCGGGAATTAAAAAAAAAAGCCTCAAAGTTGAAAAACCAAATCCTTAAAGGCAAGAATGCTTTTCCACTAAACACAGTCTAAATAACAAGTTATTTAGTGTTTGCTTTCAGTTGTAAGAAGATGACCCCACCTACTGTACAAAATGCATTGCTATTCAGTATGTAAAAGTCAATCCATTGAAAGTCAGAACCATCTATAATAATCTTTTTATAGATCCCTATTTAAAACAGCAGAAAGATACAAGAAAGCAAGAATAAGAAATGAGAGAAATAATTAAAAACTATTCTGCTTAATAGAAGCAATTATACATTTTCCTTTTCAAGCAAAACCAATGAGAATAACTAACTTTCTCCACTGTTTAATTTGTTCAGGATTTGTGTACTCCTTTAGACATTCAGTAATGTGATCCCCAATTTTGATTAGACACTGTCTAGTATGTTCCAGCTGCTCTCTTTCAGAAAGGCCCTTCTCTGGTCGGTCCAGCTGTTTCAATGCTGCTTTGACAGGCCTCATTCTTTCTTTGCACTGTAAAACAGAAAAAAGGGATGTATTAATTCAAAGAAAAAAAAAATTCTAAAATGCGACTCAGACTTTATTGTGAGATATATATACAGGCAAAGACAGTACTGTTACAAGACTTGCTCGCAGCTCTTAAAAATGTTTTACAGGTTTCTTTTGGAAAAATTTGTATTTTAAACCCAGTTGGAAATCTACTCCTCTATGAAAGCATTAAATTATATAAAATACAGATATCAAGGATTTAAGAAAGCAGTAATTTAATATAAGGGATTTTCTGAGGAAAAGGACTTACTACAACTGAGTTTTATAATCATAACTTTCAGCATAAGTATATAGGACAAGACTTACACTTTTTAGCACCTTGAAATCTATACAAACTCAATGTCAAAATTAAATATAAGAGTGTTCAGTAAATTTCAAACAGATACTTTCTGCAACAATTAAACGTGGCACTCAGCAGAGGATCAATATTGCTTCTCTGAGCAGTTTTTAAATGTCTGTCCTATGCAGATACTAGCAGAACTTGTGCTATCTAGAGTAAAGCTAGTTTGGGTATATCTAGGTTAGTAACAACAGTGATGGCAACACAGTTATATGTCATATGTGCATTCTTGAATTTTCACATTTTTAATCAAATGTTTTAATAATAAATCCAGATAAAACCAGTTAGCATGACTTAAATTACAGACACTTGCTTAGGAATTCCATCCAACTACAATGGCATGGCAAACAGATGAAATGCATATTCTCCTTGTCACAAAGAGCCAAATTAGTTAAGCCTGAACAACCCATGGTAGTAATTTCCATTTGAAAGTGTAGTTAAATATGCTGCATCTGACCACAGCACAATGATATACACACATTCCAGAACAAAAAGCCTGGACAAAAAAAATGTTGTTCTATACACAGACCCAATGTAGAATTAATCCCAGTAATTCCAAAAGAAAGTCTGTAGATTTAAAAAAAAAAAAAAAAATTTTTGAAAAACCAAACAAGTGTTTGGAATGGAATTAAATGGAATATCACCATTACCATGTAAGCATCTAGACACAACTCAGAAAAATCAGTGAAGCTGTTCCATTGCCAGCTCATGCCTCTATGTAATTAAGCAGCTGCATTACATACTGCACTAGCCACAGCTTAAAGTAGCCTTTAAAAGACAGCTTACAGAGTGCACTGCTTAAGTATAGAAGTGATCGGAAAAAAATGTAACTGTACATGGAAATCAAGTCATTTTCTGTCACTTGGCCACACAAACATATCCACCTGAATTACTCAAGGCTGATCGTGGAACTCACAGGTGAGTTACTTGGAATGTTTAGAATAAAACCATACATAACCAGTCACTGCCATACTCAAGAGAATCTTACTTGCATGTCACAGCCAGCACCCACAACAGCCCCAATAAACCTGCCTGGCAGAAACAAACAACTCTTGAAATCTGAATCACAAAACACCCACAGGAGAGCAGCTACCCAAAGTAACTCACTGCTACCTTTCCAAAGGCCCCAGCTGACCTATAAAACTTTACAGAAATTGTGTGTACGTACCTTTTTTCCTCTAATATTAATTCTGTTCTTAGTCAGAAGTAGTGATTAAACACAATTCTTTCGGTGTCAGAGAGATTACTCCAGCATACATGGGCTGGAGCCCAGCCCTTTCTAAGGGCTTTAGCATTTGTTCCTTCCTGTGTCTACTAATTTAAGTCTGCAATACTTCAGGAGGGAAGCAGCTGAAACTTAAATTTCTCTTGTTATCTTACAAATATACAAATAAAGGCATATATAAAGCAAAGGCAGAGACTCCAGCAATTGCACTGAAGTTCATTCATGTCTGCTCTTTAAGAAGCAGGATACACAAGTTATTCTTGAGGATACATCTTTACAGTCTGTATTTTAAATCTATTCAGCATGCAGATAACTGGATAAGTTTTCCTACTACCCTGCACAAATACAGTAAACAAAATAAAACTGCTAGAATGAAGACAAAAATTACTTTAGTACAGTGTCAGTAACATTAATTGATCTGAGACTTTACTAGCAAAAGATCACCTGTGTTACTGTGCCCAGTAACAATCAAGAACATCAGAAATTGTCCTCATTTAGACTGTCAAGCGTAAACGCTAACTTACCAAAAAGGGACTTACCACGCTAAAAGTTTTCTGATCCAGTTCTTCAGATTCCTCAGATATAGGAACTGGTTCACTAGTTGCAGTAATATGAACTGGAGTATCCAACAATGAAATTTTTTTAGTTTTTTCTTTATTTTCAGATTTGATTTCATTCACCTAAGAACAAGACATAAAAATATTTAAATAAGCTTTAATTTGGCTCTGGAACTATCCTATAATATATGACAATTCCTGTAACTACCGCATTCTCTTCAATAATAGGAATAAAAATTATGCTGACATTCAATGACAGTACATTTTACTTTCTCTGTGGGATAGAAAAGGAGAATGGAAAAGGTATAAAAGCAATTTTGCACACACTATACTCTCAGTCCAACTAAGATACATATCATTGAAGATGTAATTTCCCATTTCATATGCCTGTCCTCATGGTTTCAGGTAGTAAAAATAAAACCTTAAATTATGTAAAAGACTTCAATGAAATGACAACTGATCAGATCTAGAATACCTTTTCATCTCAAAATCATTCACGAAAACCTAGTGGCCTTTTCTAGTGCTATATAAGATAAGTAAACCTAGTTACCTTCTCTTCCTTCACTTCTTTTTCTTTCTGTGTAGATTCTTTTACTTTGTTTTCTCTCTTTTCTTTAATATCTTTTTCCTTTAATTCTTTCTTATCCTCTTTTTCTTTTTTCTCCCTTTTCAAATCCCTCTTATTTTCCTTTTCTTTTGTCTCTCTTTTTTCTTCAGCTTCCTTCTTTATACCAATATCTGGCTCAGGCTTTTCTTCATTTTCTTTTTCTGCTTTAATTTTTTTATGTGGATGTTTCACTGAAACAATCTCATCCTGCAATACGCAAGCATATATGTCACACAAACTGAGTTCCTATCTATACAAGTTTTGTAACCATCAGATTAAAACATACTTTTTATGTGTGCATTTTTTTCTTTTTGGACATAGATTTAACACCTGTCAAATAGAACTGAATGGAGTCATGAAGAAAGATGAGAACTACTCACTCACTTCCTTGATGTGACAAAGCAATTACTAACTTGGCAGTGGTAGTCAGGGTGAGAAATTATGTCCATTTTAACTTAGAATTAACTTAGAATTCTGTCCCTCTAAAAGGTAGTTAGGCTCTGAAGAGCTAAAAACTGTAAGGAAGTAGGTCCCACAAAACTGACCTGTCACACTCAAGTGATGGGGATGTTAGAAGACCTCGGTTCTAGTTAGCTTTGTCTCAGTAACTTTTTACCAATTCCATATTAAACATTCACAGGAGAAGGTAACAAAGCTCCAGCTCTCTCTTTTCCAGAGGTGTTCTTTTTATTAGGCTTAAGAAAAGGTCTGTTACAGATTGTCTGATAGGGGCCCATTTAATTATTTGAAGGTGAACAAAATACCACACCACTGGTCTTTGTAATATTCACTTAGAAGGTTTGAAATGGAAACTCAAATCCTTTCAGACAAAGAAAATTGCTATAATAAGCAATAAAAGTATTATGTACAGGTGCAAGATTCATTATGATCTTTGAATTGATTTGAAGTACACTGTGGAAAGGCACATATAGAATCCATTGCAGAAAAACATGAAAGAATGCCCTATACATGAATCCGAACAGGTTACTTAGATGAGATATCAAGTAATCAGCCCAACCAGGACTTCAGTATTTAGGTATCATGGAAGCTTCCCGTCAAAAATCCAATGACCTCAAGAGTTTCCTGAACGTTCTAGCAGTTAAACAGGTAAGTTTCAAATATTGCAAACAGTATGGAAGCTAAATAGCTAAAGCCAACTGTTTAGGTGGCTAAAGCCCATTTTTACATATAGTTCAGTTTTCAGAAGTGCAATTGTTAGTCTGTGTCCAAAAGTATTAAAAGTGATGAATATCTGTTATTAAATATACAAACAGCATTTGTGTATTTACATTCTGGGCACTTTTCCAAAACATAAACAAATCAACCAACTGACTGGCAGCATCTTCTATTTTGAGTGGAGATGACATCTAACACTCATTTTTTAAGTAGTATGAAACACTTCATTGCTTAGTTTTAGGATTCAGTTGCCCATGTTAATTTACTGGGAACACTTACACTGACACCACTTACAGTTCTTAGTCTCACATTCCAGACAAATTATTGTATCTATAAACATAAGCCAGTCTACATTCAAAGTTGTTTTTAGTTTGGTTTGTTTTTTTTTTCCCCCTGGCTTTACATTTTATTCTTCGTAGTACAATTTAAATACATACAGGAATGCTTTAGTTAAAAATGACTATTTTTTTAATAGATGTATCATGGTTCTTCTAAGGCTGACTCAGTTTTAACTATGTATTCATATAAGCATTTTTTCCTCTAGAGTGAGCTGACAATTAAAATAATTTGTAATAGTTTAAAGTGGTTATGTAAGACACTTCAATTTAGTTTATACCAAGTAGTATTTTAATGATATGCATAGATTTGCACTGAAATTAGGTGTGAAATGACCCTAAACTTTATCTGAATTTTTATCTCTACTGGTTTCTGCTGTGTGATAAGTGTTCAAAATAAAAAGACACAACAAAAGCAGAGGCCTCAAAGAACACAGCAGAAGTAACAGAACACAAGTTTAAAAAGTCGGTTAAACAGTCTTTTTGGATAATGAAAGCCATGCCATATACAGGAGCTTTCACATGCAAGTCTTGAAATACCACTTATTCATGCTGCTCATTCTAATTGAGCTTGATGGGCTTTTTCTGCACCTGAATAAGGAGCTTCACCTGAAGAATCACTATTAGTAGTAGTAACATAATAGCCAGAAAGTTAGTATTATAATTGTGTGTTACATTAGGTTTGCATTTCTAGCAGACACAATGCTGAAGTCTTTAAAGAATGCTGAAACCGAGCAATGCCACTTGTAATTAGACCACCACATTTTTTTTATAATACAGTTTGGAAAACTACTCATAATTCCTCAGCTACTGACTTATCATTAAATTAAAATAGGTACAGTCTTCCATGTGCTTGTACTGATGCAACATCAACTGTAGTGGCCACAGGAAAAGGATGACATTCAGGTGCTTCAATTTTAAGTCAAGCAGAAGATAAAATAGAAATCAATACTAATAGGAAGAACTGAATAGCCATCTTTACCATATGGAAGGTATTTACCTTGTTATCCTCATCATCATCTTCATCAGATTTTTCTGAGGGTTGTGGTGAAGAATCACTTTTTATTTCTTCTTTCATTTTTGCAGCCTTTATCACCTTATTCTTCTTAGTTCTTGTTTTCCTCCTCTTTGAATTGCCCTGAATGCAAATTGGTCTCTTTAATGTGCCAACTGAGAAGCATCTTTGCACCACAGTTACAAAAAATGTTTTTTTTTTTTTTAAACATCAAACAGAGGGTTCATTTTATTTTATTTATCGCCACTAATGACCACCACTTTTCTCAGGACTGGAGACAGAGCATAATGGAACAGTAGAGAATACATACAAATAATAAGACAGTAATACAATATGAAACTCGCAATTAATCTCTTGAGTTAGTCTCATGTAATATGATTAGCAATACAGAGTAATACTACACAAAGAGCAGAACTAAAAAAGAAAAAGAAAAGGATCAGCTGACATGCCCATAAGCGTATTGTTTTATCTCACTAATGAATGACAAATTTTACTTACTGCACCAGCAAGCCTTTGTGCTTCCTTCCTTGCAAGGTCTTTATTCAGTAATTTAATGAGGTAGTCTGCACGGGTCTGTAACTGCTTCGCCTGGGGTTTCTTATCTGGATCATCAGGCAAAATCTGAGGAGAACAATGGTAGTATCACAGCTATGAGTACATATTATCAAGTTTGGAAGATGCTAGTCCTAGCCTGGAGTATGCAGAACAGAAAAAGCTGCATAAAAGAAGGTGGAAAACCAGTCCACTTCAACTATACCTAGCAAATATGCCAGCATGCTTGAAGCAATGGAACATTTCTTAAACGTTTTCATTTCTCTCCAATCATGCAGCCAATGCAGAGTCTTGGAAATTGCCTTGTAGTTTAAAACAAACTCAAGAAACCAACCTCAGATTCTTGTTTCCACTCTGATAGTTTATCCAAGAAATTCTGAGCTCCTGTACCAGTCATCCACAGAATTCCTGTCTCTGCCTCATTCATCTAAATGCAGAACTCACTACAGGATATTGCAGACGCCAAAAATGTAAATGGGTGGTTTCAAAAAACAGGCAAATTAATGGAAGGCAGGAGTAGAAATTAAACTAATTTGGACACAACCCTGTCTGCTCAAATCATGAAACTATAGGTTGTTGGCACTGTCACAAAGATTACTTCACCCCAGTCTTTCCCTCAATACCTGTTGCTCACTATTGCTATGGAGCTATTGCACTAATTCTCTAGTACAGCTATTCTCTTGTTGTGAGTGAAAGACAGACACTTTCAAGTGAAGAACCTGGGAATTAAGTGGGGATGGGGAAATCGAATCAAATCTCTAGAAAACCCTCCCTTCCCAAAGTTCAAGAACACAAAACTTGAACATCTCAAACAGAGGAGGAAAAGACTGAAAAGTCAAATGACAGAGGCCGAAACTACATGGAAATATGGCAATATAACTGACTGCAAGAAGGCATACTTAAACTGAACACACAAGACCTACACAAGCATATGAAGAAGTACCATTGATGTATAATGTCTGCAATTTCAGTTATCATAAAATAAGCTCTTTCAGTAACTTTTTAGTAGCATTATTATCGAAACAAAAAGAGTCCTTGATGAAATGTTGTAGATGACATACCTTCTGTGTCAAACTAAGATCAGGATCCATTTTTATCATTTCCCAGCTGCCATAACCATATTCATAGATGCCTATTAACAGATTGGAATCATCTTCCTTACCCCAATCTATATCAAAATGAGCAGCCTTGGTGTGGCATGGGATGACATATCTAGCAGAAATAAATTAGAAAAGACAAATAAGGGATTTTTACTTCTGAAGCTTAGCAAGGGGGAAGGGAACACTGCAAGTGATGTAGCTAAATTTATCTTCTCTGCTAAGATGCTGGTATGTTTAGGAAATTAGTCCAAACATTTATTGTTACATTTTCTTAAGATTTCTATAAAATATTTATTGAAATCAGCACTGAACTGTATTTTAAAGGTGATCAAGACTAAAATACGAAGAACAGACATCTCTCTGTGGCCATGACCTGTGTCACAGAGTTGGCTAACCATGAATAAAAGCATAAATCATCATCCAAGTGTAACTGCTAACTAAGTGGATAGTTTAGGGATTGTGATACACAAGGTGGCAAGGGGAAAAGTTCAGAGGGTAGAAACAGCTACTGCTGTGCTTTGAGAAATACTGCTTTCCCCTCAAGCAGAGGTGACACATAAACCAGCTCCTCAGCAAGCCTGAATTTGAGTCCTGGTTATTATTAGTAACTGAACAGAGTCCCCAGTGGATATAATCGAGAAGCCAAAGCTGGTACTGGCTTCTATGGCAAGGGAAGAAAGAAGAACAGATGTGCAGCAGCTTACTGCTGCCAGTCCTTACCAGGAATAGAGGGACGATGCTGTCATAGTGTGCTTTGAGTCAAAGTTGTCTGAAAAAAGCTGATAAAACTTGAAAAATTTTCAGCATTACTACTTCCTTTAAAAAAATCCCCAAAAGAAAACAATACCTTTTTCTTTCTTCTGGATCTGAAGGAATGGATTTGTGCAATGGTGCCAACTCTTCTTCATGAGAGATGACTAGCTTTGCATTCACCTGCACTCCTGAGATGCGGAATGTTGGACCTTTAACTTTCCCAAGTCTACCTCCTTCAAATAAAGGACAAAGCTATTAAAAGTATTTACCTTTATGAATATCATACAGGAAAATGTAAAAACCAAGTCAGATTGATGCTATAGCAGCAAATACACCACATGACTTTTTCTTAACCAAATGCTTGAATTAAGCTCCAGAATCAAAAGGTCTTCCAGATAATAACAGATTACTTTTAAATTTCACAGCAAAGCAAAACCATACTACATTCTCCAATGACAATTCACACACAGAAAGGGGAAAAAAAAGAAGTCATCTTCCTATAACCCTTTTTTAAAATCACCCAGCATACCAACATTTTTGTTTGCATTTTCCCCAACAAAACTGTTTTCTGTTATGAGCAGTGCTAGAATAATTCAGACTTCTTGACGTTTTTTATTGCCCCCCAAGCCCCCTGAACACATCGTACCTGCTCTTTCTTGTCCAGATGAATTGTCCTTTAAAGCTTTAATGCATCCATTATGTACAAGCTCTCCCAAACGTCTAAGATCTGTCTCTGATTTATCAACTAATTCAGCATCTCTAGCTACAGCATCTAACCTGTAATAAAACAAATACACATTTTTGTAGCTCTGAAACTTTAGTAATTGTGAATGACTCCTTCAGACTTTGAAACTAGAGAAATGGTCATGTTAAGTTATCAGTCACCTGGCACTTGCTATGCTGTGTACAATTTTGATCCAAGGAAAAAAAAGGTGATTCAGGTATCAGGGGACGATACAACAAGAACTGTAAAGGACCCTAAACCTACAGTTTTGAGTTAAATTGCTGTACATCTCTTTAAAAAAAGAAAAGGAATCACTATATGTAATATGTTCATATAGACTATAAATATTTTTAAGGAAAATGAGGATGGAAAGTTTTCCTTAAAATATGGCATAATAAAGAATCTTAAAAATAAGAACTGACTGGAAGGAAAATGGAAAACTAACTTTGACAATCACACTGGATAAACTGATAGGCTTTCAACAGGCTATCAAACACAACAACTGAATGATTATCACCAATGAAGATTAAACAAGACAGCAGGTAAAGTATAAAGAAAGAGAGTAAGCAGTCCTGCAAATTGAAAGTTTTGTTGTGTGGCTGTTTGGATATATACCATACATGAAGAAAGGGAAGATATTAAGCTAAAGTCATATTACAGTCAAGGCAAAAGATTAGTCACTGTATTTTCTCTTCAGCCTAAGGCTTTGTAGTATATTGTTCTAATTTTTATGAAAACAAGGTTCCAAGTTGCTACACAAATAATTATCAAACAAGTTTACCTTTCAAGAGGGCCACCAAATTTCTTGTAACTCTTGATAAACCTAGTAACAGAAAATAATTTTTCCATTTAAATGTATGCTTAACTAACTACATTGGTTTTAAAATTGTATTAATACAATTATTAATCTTAGTATAATGCTATATGGACAAAGGGCGGGGGGGAGGGAGGGGAGTACAGAGAGTAGGACAGTTCAGTATATCCAGATAACCCAAACAAAGTCAGAGTTATAATGGTTTAAGAACTGATGTAAATAAAACAATAGAAGGTACGATTTATTTCAGAAATTGCTTTATTAATTTCACAAGACAGAAGATTCAGCAGCTGGATGTGTCTAGTAAAAAAAATTTGATGTGGATTTACAGTAAATAGAGATTTCAAACATTACACTATGCCTTATATAGTAAAATGAGCACTCTGCAACAGATGATTTGAAGATTTTGGAAAATATGACATGAAAGATACTCTCTGTAGGAATGTGTAAGTGATGGAAAGAAACTGAAGATACCCACAATAGAAAGGAAATTAAATAAAAATAAAATTAATAGAAGTAATTTCAAAAAAAGTTTCCTCAACAATCAAGGCCTCAAATTGCTAGTGCAAGCACAAGAATAGCCTTGAAAAAAGTACCAATTTACTGTGTTAGATGAAATGGAAAGGCAAAAAGGATCTTTAAAGTTATTTCTCTAACCAAAAATATTTTGAGAGCTTTACAGCTTTTTAGAGAAACATGTAGACTTAAATTTCAGAAGCAAAGTAGCATTTCACCAACTCAAAAAGGTAAAACAAAACAATTACTCCTCCTTCTTGCAAAAAAATATTTTAGCATGAAATATTGAAGGGACCTGCTGTACAAATAGGATTTTATATTTTTTTACTTCAAAAAAGCATGATATAACATTAATTCAATGACAGTGTTAACCAGTTTAAAAAGAAAACAAAATCCACTCAAATTTTTGTAGCTGTCACCAAAGATTTACATATTCTTTCAGCACTGCAGTTTTTAGATAAAATGGTGGGAAGCAGATTATTTTGCTTGTATGTTAAAAGAAAAGCTCACCCATTGTAACAACTGCTTTTTGAAATCAGTGTCTTCATGAGTTGCAGAAATTAAAAAATTTAAAACAATCAAGAATACTTTTCAAACGTAATTTTATCCCTCATTAAAATGAGTTCAAATTCTTGCCATGACAGTTCACTATGTCAGCACCACAAAGTACACAAGGTAAAACATTAAATGCCTAGAATAAAACAATTTCAAATAAATTCAGGAAAAATAAACTGCCTTCTGTACTTTCAAGCTCTATAATAATAGTAATAAAAAATTTGTCTTGTCCCTTTAAACATGCATGTCCCCCCATATCTTACCGCCTGATCTCTGCATCACTAAATCCTTTAATATTTTCTCGAGGAATGGTTCGTGGTCTTCCACGTTTTTTTGGCCGTTTTCTTTCTGAGATGGAGTCACTATCAGATCCAGAGTATCTTCTGCTCCTACTGCGCCTCCCTTCACTTCCATTAAAGCTGATCTGGAATTTCAGAATAAGTAGTTCAAAGCTACATGATTAACAAACATAAGTTTTACCTAGCCTGTCAAAAATGTGTGTTCAGAAAAGTAAAAAAAAAACCAAAACAAAAAACAACAACCCCACACCCAAAATCCAACAACAATCCCCAATAAACAAACTAAACCAACAGCAACATAAAAGTACAAGTCAGAATGAAGAGACACCTGTTTTGCACAGTTTCTCATCCTTGGGAGCATGTATATTTCTTCAAGCTCTTTTTGTCTTTCCTCCTCTTCTATTCTTCGCCGCTGGACTTCTGGAATGATTTCTTCCCAATTTCTTGAGTTTCTTTCTGGTTCCAACTCAATATCATCTTCATCCATATTGGAAAAGTTGGCCACCTTGTATATCAGAATATACATGTTTTGATCACATCAATATATGACTTTACGTGAAAAAGACTAAGCAACTAATATTTTAGGAAACTTTCTAGATAGCATATTTTATGCATTTATATATATACTACTGTTTATAATACATATAAAATTTATACATACAAAATGCTTCATGAAACTGTCGCTAATGGAAGTATTTTTATTCATTTATGAAACAGACTCCATGCAACATGGGCTGAGAAAAGATGAGAATCTTTTTCTTCTTTTAAAAGTTGACTAATACAGATGCATAATGAAACACATGCCCAACAGCTGTATGAATGTTCAAATGATGTCCTTCAAAACAGAGCTAATGACATCTGAATGCCTAAGTTAATGTGAAACTATAATAATATAAAACTAACCAGACATTAATACACTGTAGAAATCAAAATATGTTGCAAATGAATAATCAGGCAGGAGAGCTATTTAATAATCTGCTCATGTAAATAAATACATCGTGCCCCACATCTTTTTGGCACCCAAATTATGATATGTTTAACTGGTAACTCTTAAAATACCTGGCATTCAGGTTTATTTCAGGGCTAAAAGCTATTTCTAGAAATCATCAACTAAGAAATGCAAACCTTCTATTTTGTGTTCAACAATACCACAGCTACTTAACAACAAAGGCAGTAAATAAAACACAACTACCTAGAATTCTAAACACTAACACATTCATAAACATCTCTTATTTTATTAGCAAAATACTTAATGTCTTTTTAAATGTTTATACTGATGGTAGGTATCCTGTATATGTGAAAAGACATTTTATCAGAAAGAGATACAGAGCTGAGTTACTTAAATCTATTTCGTAAGAATGAAAAGATGGAAAGGTACACAAAAGAAAAATATTACCGTTCACAAAGGAAAGTGTAATTATGGCAGGAGGGAGGGAACAGAGCAATACCTTGAACTGTGAAAGCAATTCATCTCCTACAGTTAAGGGACCTGGCTCATTTTCCCGAGTTTCAGCCCTCTTCAAGATTTCATCTATATCCATTTCCTAAAAAAGTAGTAGTTTCTCTTTACAATGAAATAATTCATATATATTTTCAATTGGTTTATGTATCTAGTCCAGAGACACTACTTACCTGGGGCTCCTGTTCTTCCCCTTCAGGTTCTTTAAAAAGTTCCTCAGCACCAAACTTTAAAATTGCTGATAACTCCTCCTTATTAAAAGGTGTTGAGCTGAAACAAAGGATGTTTCAGGGAAAACATTTTATCTTAGCAACCTGAAAAAGTTCTCTATAATCACAAGTCAATTAAGCTTTCTTTTTACTGTTAAATAAAAACTACATATATTTTTAATACATATATTTAATATGCAAATAAAAATCTACAAAGACAATATACTTTGCATCTTTACTTATTTACCCTTATTTTGCCTTGCATTAACCAAGTAAAATAACTTACATTTTTACTTACTTGTCAAATATACTTAAGGGTAAATTGATATGGAAATAAATAGAAATATACCTTGAAGGAGTAGAGCCTGTATGTAGTACGGTTTTCCCTGTAGTGTCCATTCTCTGAATTACTAAATGATCTAACACCATCTTTTTCTTGGCTCTTTCAAGAATATCTTCTTCTACTGATCCTTTTGTGACTAGCCGATAAATATTAACCTATGTATATTTTAAAAAAGGTAAGCAACAACAAGGAGAAATCTCAGTCTTCACTACATATCGTCTGAATTTATTGACTGGTTTCAAATATGAAGTACTAGTTCAATCATGTTACTACAGTCTTCACATAAGCATTTTAAAAAAGCAGAGAAGTAAACTCGTAGACCCGTCTTTTTTTAAACATCAGTGGTTTGGCACAAGCATTGCTACAGGCAAAACTGTCATATTTCCCATTATTACTGTGTATCTTCTGCAAGAAAGAACCCTTTCTTCTGCAAGAAAGAGAACTAAGAAATATTTAAGCAAGGGGGATGTGCCTGATGTACCAATTATTTTCTAGAATGACATAATGCCAATGAATGTGGGATGGACAAGCCCACAGCTCTTCTCCCTCTCCCATCCATATATCACAGCTGCCATATTATCTCTCAGAGATTTAAAAGAAAGTTAAATGAGCATTACTAACATTTCTGGACATACGCAGCAAGTATTAGTTATTTTTAAAAATGTGAAGACTGAATGGTGCAGAGTAGACACCTACTGTACAGAACCCTCCTTCCAGGTTTGAAGCTTAAAGCTGTATGGGCGTACCTGTTTCTTCTGTCCAATCCTATGCGCTCTAGCCTGTGCTTGGAGATCATTCTGTGGATTCCAGTCAGAATCAAATATTACTACAGTGTCAGCAGAAGCCAAGTTGATACCTAATCCTCCAGCTCTAGTAGACAGTAAGAAGCAGAAGTCCTGAAATCATAAAATAAGAAATAGTTTTATATACAGTACTTGTAATATTCTTAAAGGAACCAACATGACACTTGTTTATGCAGTCTGTGGCACAGACTACAAAATCATATACTACCAATTCCGTAACTGTTCTATAGTTATAGCTTAAGTGTAAAGCAAACATTGATATCAATTTCTTTCATAAATAGCTACTGACTTCTCAACAGTTTAAAGGAAGCAGCATCCTAGAAGATGATCACCAACCAAAAAAATCCCAACCAAAAAAATGACTGGCCAAGAAGTACAAAAACCCTACTGTTCAATCCTTGTATGTTACAAAGTCCCTCTCCCACATCCCTTGCCCCAAGCTCTGGAAGCCTAAGCAGCCATGTCTGCGCAGGGAAGATGCTTGACTCTACAAGTAACTTTAAGAGACAGGAAGCAAAAGTCAGGTTCAATGCTGTTCAACATATTCATTAACAATATGAAAATGGAATAAGCAATGAGGTGAAAAAGCCTGTAGATGATACAGAATTATTCATTCAGAGACAACTATGGAGGACTGCAGAAGGATCTTGAGACATGCAATAAAACAACATATGAAATTCAAGATAAATGGGTTAAAAAAAAAACCAAACAAAAACCAAACCACAACAATTTTCAGTACAGTTACAGGAAACAGCAAACCATTATGCTCAGGTATGAGTCCTAAAAATTGTGTTAGAAATTTCCATGTAGACCTTAGCTCAGTAATGGCCAAAAACCATACAGAATGTTCTGAAGTTTGAGGAAAGAAATAAAAAATAAAACTGGTAACATAAATTTGTTGCTGCACAAATGGATAGTTTGCCTCCATTTTTTAAATGCATGAAGTTTAAATTCCTCTTCATCTCAAAAAATGTACAGTGTGACTGCAAAGATTTCAGAAAAAGGCAGCAATGTCTGTGCTAGAAATTTGAAACACAATTAACTTCTATATTTAACAAATATCTGAAGTTTACATTATGGAGTTAGGTCCTTCTCCCTCCAACATAGCAGAAACAAGTTCAGCAGCAACTGACAAATGCTATCCTTCAATTACTGATTTAAAAAAAAACAAACCAAACCAGCAACCACCCCCCAACCAAAAAAACCCCAAACACCCACTAACAAACCCCCCCCACAAAACCTCCCCTCCCCCAAATCTGCCAGTGTAGGACAAAAGATTTAAGCTGATCAAAGGTACAGAATGGCTTGCATATTAGGAATGCTAAATAAGCTACAAATTTTCCAAAGAGAAAAGAAAGACTCTGTCACAAGACACTTATATTCACAAGTTGCTCACAAAGAATGGCTAGAAATCAGTTTGTCACTATTTTTTCCCAGGCAAGTAAGTAGGTGGCAACAAATGAAGATAATAGAAGCCATATTTGAAACAGTTAAAGATGGTTCTTTATGCAAGGATATGCACAAGCTAGTTCTGCCCGCTGCCAAGGGATGTTTTTGATGCTAACTGCTTGTGTAAGTTCAATGTGTTTGTAAACATCGTTGGGTTAAGTTCTACACAGCAACAAGGCTGAGGTTAAATTTCTGCAGCACTTACACAGTAATTAAAATTACTCTGGTAAAGAGCATTAAAGAAAAAGCATTATAGCTACACAACTGATTAAATACCATTTTCGTAAGTTATATGTTTTCTACTTAACCTCTTCTTAGAGGACAAAAAAATAGCAGCTGTAAACCTTATCATCTAGGCAATAACAATGAATTTAATCTTATTGATATATTCCTCACTTTTCTGAGACTTCACTTTTTTGTGCTTTTGAGCCTTCATTTTTTTGTACTTCTTGGGAAAAATAAAACAGATTCCTTAGGAAAAAAATTCCATACCTCTGATCCTTCTGCATTAAAATGATCCAGTGCTTGTTTCCTCAATTCCCCTTTTATTGATCCATCAAGTCTCTAAAGAGATTGAATACTACAGTTAAAGAGTAATTCTTATACTACATTCAAAATTAGAGCAACTTCAATTCTCAACTGCCAAAACTGTTATGTGAAGGGAAAAAAGCAATCACACAATCGTAGAATGCTTTGGGTTGGAAGGGACCTTTAGAGGTCATTTAGCCCAACCCCCCTGCCGTAAGCAGGGACAGCTTTCACTAGATCAGGTTGCTCAGAGCCCAGTCCAACTTGACCTTGAATGTTTGTAGGGATGGGGCCTCCAGTACCTCTCCGGGCAACATGTTCCAGTTCTTGACCACCCTCATTGTAAAAAATTTCTTTCTTATGTCTAGTCTAAATTTATTCTTTAGTTTAAATCCATTATTCCTTGTTCTGTCACAACAGGCCTTGCTAAAAAAGATTGCCCCCATCCTTCCTATAGTGTAACGCAACACTTCACATGAAATTAAACTGATTAGTTAAAAAAATTAAGATACTATTTAGCATATAGCAATTGCCAGTCTTTCTAGAAATAGAACACTTGTTCTTATATCTTTTCTTAAAGAAAGTGGTAAAGATCACAACCACAAAACAGTTGAGGTTGGAAGGGACCTCTGGAGGTCATCTTGTCTAACTTCCCTACTCAGGCAGGGACAGCTAAAGCAGGTTGCCCAAGATCACGTCCTGGTGGCTTCTGAATGTCACAGAGGATGGAGATTCTGTAACCTCTGGACAACTTGTTCCAGTGCTGTCACCCTCAGAGTAAAGAAAAGATTTTTCTTATATTCAAGATCAAAGCTTCTTGGCTACTACCACCAAGATTCTGACCTGAAAGGGAAACTGACGATACTTCAGATATTCTGCTAGGATGTCCAGCATCCTCACCATCTGTGAGAAAATCAGAACTCTGTTGCCACGTTCTCGCAGACGAATCAGTAGCTTGTCAAGAAGGATTAGTTTCCCGCTGCTACGTATTAAATGCTACAAAAACCAAGAAATACATATCGCAAAATAAGTTCATCTCAACACTAATATACACTGCATTTGGTTAGACATTCATTCGAGGTTTGCTTTCCTATTGCTGTAGGAAGAAAAAGAAAAAAAAGGAAAATTCTGACATCCCTTAGGAATTTTATAGTTTAAAATGTGCATGCAATATATAGTCTTCTAGAGCTTAAAAAAAGAAAAAACCCACCAAATTCATGTGACCATAAGACAACATCGCTATATAAATTTACTAGTATGCAGCATTAACGGAACACAAAAGTTTACTCTGATTTTAGTTTATTTGATTCTAACTGAAATCAACAGGGTTACAAACTTATATTTTTAAAGGAAATGCACTGTTCAGTTCCCTATCTTAACATCTCATTAAAACATGAAGTAAATATATGGACTTAAAAATTTAAGCAGTTCTTTTCTGCCAAGGAAAGAATAAAATTTGGTAACCAATAAAATCTAAGATTGAGAAAAAAAAAACTATCTTAGTACTACTTTCTCTTCACTTCCCATCTTTTAAGAAGTAAGTACTGCTGCTTAACCTTCTAAGTATTTTTAAAGCCTATCAATCAAGTTTCTCAAGCAAGATAAAGTGAGAGGAATGTTGTTTGTGGTGCCTAACATTGTAACACACCTAAGGCCTGTTAAGCCTTCTCAGGTCTATTGGGAATAACTAGAACAGAAACTCAAGCAAATGTGAAATTTAATGTTGAAAACTTTAGGCCTCTTTAGATGAAGATGCCTGGGACAGAATTTTAGGGAATGCCAAATCTTGAGTTAGGTGATTTTATTCTTTATGCCAGAAAGGAGGAGAATATTTGTAACCGTACAAACTAGTAGCTTTGGGAAGGTACTTAAATTATCAACTTGAAAGCTTACAGAAAAAAAAATCATCTTTACAAACATTTATGTTGGTATAAACTGCACCACCACCAACAGTCATCTGTTGCTGTGCTTCTCAACAGTTTTGGTACAAATATTAGTTAACCTTAACAAAAAAAAAAAAAAAAAGAAACAACAGACCATCTTTGGTAGTGATGAGAATTGTTTTAATCTGTTACAACAATAACAACAAAATCAGACTGAGCTTTGGATGCTTGTTACTTTCCTTCCACTTTGGTTGTTTGCAGGCATACAGAGAACAGTATTTGATTATAAAAAAGGCTTAAAAGCATTCTGCAGATCACTTCCTGATATCACACAGATTGCTGGTGTATCCTTGCCAGTCACTTGCATTTCCACTCACATTACATTTAACCTGCTTACCTGCTTTATTTTACTTAGGTTTAAAATAGGTCTCAAGTTTATTTTGCACAAAAATACACAGCCTGTTTCAAACTACTTCCTCTTTATTTTGACTGTAACTAAAATCGGGGATATTTTATTTAGTCAATTATCTGTCAGTTATTCAGTTCCAATTAAGAAACAAGAATCAATTAACTCAGCTGTAAAACCCAGGATGCACATTTTCCAGAGAACCCGTTTTTTCTTAATATACTTCAATAAGAATTAATAAACTGCCAGAGCACTGTAAAATTGTGTGAATATTACAGATGTAAACCAGAACTTTTTTTAATTAAAAAAAGTGACATTACCTGTAAGGCCTCCTGTTTATTATAGAATTCATTATCATCTGGTGGTCTAATGAGGTAGCAATGGTTACAACACTTCTTGAGTTCCATCATGATGTTCAAAAAGCCTGACGTACTGCCTTTTGAACCTTTACTGAGGGCTTTATAATTCCTGGTTAAAATCCACCTATGATGTAAGTTGTACAATATAAGTAATTTCTAACCATATGTGGAAGCAAGGCAGATAGATGTAAGCTCTCAAAATATAAACAAGCTAAAGAAGAAAAGAAGCTTCCAAAAGAACATACTAACATGACAAACAGAAGAAGCTACATGACTAGACATTAGACCAGTGTAATTCTTGAGCCCTTGCTTCATAGAATTTTACTGTTGTGAAACCCGATAGAATCCTCAAGTTCAAACTGCATTATAAGAACTACTGTACTTCAGTAAATTGTATCCAGACCTATCACTAAAACAGAACAATTTTACAAGTGTTGTTTCTTACTTGTAATATTGTTTTTGCAATGCACTCATTTCCATCCTCAGAATTTGCTCAACTTTAGCAGGTAAAGACTTTTCTACATCTTTTTTAACTCTTCTCAGCAGAAATGGTTCAAGTTCTTTGTGAAGACTTGCATAACCATACTCTCTCCCTTTGCCGTGCTCCTCTTCAAAATCTTCCCAGGAGGAAAACCTTCAACATAATAATGAATGAACACAAAATAGTGATATACTCTGAATCACCTGAGGAAGCAAAATTCAAGAAGATAACACAAACACGGAATGTGTATAAATATACCACAAGAGCACAAACACATCTGGATTTCTTCCCGACTCCCTTCTGTTTAATTTATCCAATTTCTGAATTGCCGTCTCACAAGAAATTCGAAGTACTTTGCATGTAAATAGAAGAACAGAATTTTCCAAAAACATTTACAGAATGAAAACTTTGGAATTTTAACTTCCCCAGTGGAAACCCAACATTTTTCTTTTTCTCCAAGGATACTCACCTAGATGGTTGCAGAAATTCCATTATTACATGTGTCAAAAGCAGCATGAAAAAACAGCTGCATGGTTGCACAAGAGAACAAAAGACTACTTAAATGTACTTTTTACAGCTTGTATGGTCTAGCTGAAGCGTAACTATTCTCTATGCTAACAGACTAGGAGAACAGATTTTATGATCAAATGAAGAATGGCTACTAGACCATAGCTGCTTTGCTTTTAAAGTTCTGAAGAAGTCAGTACCATCTATAGCTCAAACTAAATGGAGCTATGGTGCTTGGCATTTACAAGACCTCTGACAGGCACATGTGCTCTCACACATGAGCTCTAATTTCTCTTATGTATAAGCAGAGGTCAGTACAAAATGAGGTCAATACAGTAAGCTTACTGTATGAAAACCATATGGGAAAACCAGCTGACTGAACTACAAGATATTGGGCATCTTGGTACAAATTTGTTTTCATTAGTAGTACTAACACAGAAAAGATTCCATTCTATTTCCACAGAGTAAATCCATATGGTTTTCCTCTTAGGCTAAGACGAAGCCTTTTTTCCAGGTTCTGACCCATACATCAATCAATCATTTCTGTGGTCTGCTAAAATGGAAAAAGGTGACAACTGCTACCAGCATTACTTATCAGGAGTAGCACAAAAAAACCCATATGCATATACTTTAGATAGAATATTTAAATTACCTTTCAGTATGATTCTCTACCTCTATTGGTTTTCAAATCACTACACTACTTCACAACAAGAAACTTGACCAAAAAATGTTAAAAAGAATCATGTAAAATTCCTCCTTACTTTTCTGGCATGATGAAGTGCAACAAAGACCAAAGCTCTTTGAGGGAGTTTTGCAGAGGTGTTCCAGTAATAAGAAGACGATGGTTAGACTTAAAGTCTATTAAAGTCTTGTACAGAAGAGAGTCGTCGTTTTTTAAGCGATGAGCTTCGTCAACTCCTATGAACGCCCAATTCAGACCACCAAGGAATGACTTAAAGAAAGGGGGGGGGGAACATTATACAAATAAACACATTGCATAATTTGCCACATTTTATAATCAAGCTATAAAGACCATCACTTTTTTGTTTATTTTAATACAGTACAGACAGCTGTATGTTTTTAGTACTAATTATGGCTTTTACATTTGCCAGGCTCAATGAAAGGCTGTGCAAGCACCCCAAGAAAGTATAAATTAAGTTTAAAAGGAAAAAAATTGCCAAAAGTCTGACCCATGTTTTGATATGACAGGAAAAAAAAAAAAAAATCACTATTGACTTCTTCCCAGCATGTACAAACAAATGAAGTAAAAATGTTCTGTTTCTTGACTACCTATAAAAATTTCCACATACTGTTAGACACATTAACAATAACTATGTGCTACCACTATGGAGGCAGTATTAATAAATATACACATACTACTGTATGCACAACAATAAAGAAAAACTATGTGGGATTTCAGAGTTCTGTATCATGTTTGGGGCTACGGGCTGGGTTCTTTTTCAGTTCCTTGATGGTGGTCTGCAAGGAAGTAGAGCTCTTGAAGATGGGAGATTATTACAGTAATAAGAATCCCAAGCAAACTGGAGAAAGAGAAGTGTTACCCACTTAATGAAATGCAAAAATGCTGAAAGCCTCACCACACATACAGAAAATCTAAAAGTGCTTAACCCCCCCACCAAAAAAACTCCAAAACCCAAGCCACACACTATCATACTTCCAAAAGCAAAAGCTATGACACTCTCCATAATTTTAATGACCCACAAATACATACAAGTCTAAAGAAAGTTCTACAGTGGAGAAATGATGTTTATTTCCCTGAAGAAGTGTGATTACCTTATCCTTCAGCAAAATTTCGTATGTTGTTAGAAGTATGTTAAATTTTAATCGTTTAGTCTGTGGATGCATCCATTCATGAGTTCTAATCTACAAAAAAAAAAAAGAATCAAAAAAATCAAGTGAACTACAAGCTAGAGAAAAAAGGTCTTGTTGACTGGGATGGATTTAAGTACTGCAGCAATGTAAATGTTTAATGACATACAATAGTATGATCACAAAACAGAAACACAATATATTAACATACAAAAGACTGGACTTCCAACCTAAGCAATCCAAAATTATTTTGCTTAAATTTCTGAATAAACAGCAAAGAATTTCTACAAAACATTTTTTGCTTTAATGGATACGATTATTAACATTAAGAAAACACCAACAACCTTTCAGAAAATAAATTAAGATCATGACTGGCTTGCTCACACATTTATTTTTACTATATCCACCTAAATAATCATATGGCAGAAGATAATTTGTTTTCAAATGCAAGAATAAATTCTTAATCCTGTTCACTATTAAGCAGGAAGGAAATCCTTCTCACATGCTTATATCAGGTCAAAACCTAAGCTTTCAAACTGCATCTTGAACACATAGTGTTTCAGTAAGTATTTGCTCAGTCCTAAACAAAATATTGGAGATTAGCAGAGGACAGGAATATGAAGCGAGTCTTGTTTATCTATAAGCCTTTCCAATAATAAAGAGAAATACTCACCATATTTCTGCTAGTTATATCTCCTAAGTAAACTACAGCATTCATCTGAGGAGCCCAAGTTTGAATCTCTCTTTGCCAAGATGTCAAGGTAGAAAGTGGCACAACCAGCAAGAAAGGCCCATACAATTGATGTTCATGGAACAGGTAGTTCAGAAAAGAAATTGTTTGTATTGTTTTACCCAGACCCATTTCATCTGCAAGAATACAGCTATTCCCTCTAAAAGAAAAAAAGTAGAGGCAACACAGAGAGGGGAAGGGGTTGGACAACAAGAAATTATTATCTTTAGCATAAAAATCACTCATACAAGTCTGCAAGACTCTGCAAGTACACATCTGGAAGAAGTGTTTTTCCACTGTTTTTCCATACCTCCCCCCCACCCCCAATACTTGAATTAATTAACAAAATTAGCAAAAAGCCTGCAAGTATTCCTCATGAGTCTAAATTTAAAAGTGTAACACTAATGTTGACTTTTCAGAAGAGTTTGCTTTGGGTTCTTTGGTTTTACTGTTTTAGGTTTTTTAAAAAAATATTACTTAACCCCATATGAAATTAAAAGCAAAGCAACAACAGAGCTTAGCTGTTTTCTGAGAACAGCCATGGAATAATAAGCTTTGGTACTACTTAGAGCAAAACTACTCCCCTCAGATCTCTACTTTGAGCTTACTGTATGAAACCCTCCATCTTCAAAACAAAAAAATACATAAAAGTAAATTTCAAAGTTTTACAAGTGCTTACAGCTTACAAACAGAAAAACTCATTTCAGGCTATACTTACTTGCACCATGAGTGAGCAAGCCAATTCAATCCATTTAACTGATAATCTCTTAACTCTAAACTTTCATGTCCTCCAATGTAAGATGGTTGCTTCTTTAGCGCAACAAACCTTGGCCTCTGTTTTAGAACCTGTCAAAAGCAAATTGATCATCAGTCCTACTACTGACTGAAGTTAGCAAAATGTCTTCGCATAGAAAAAATAGCAGTATGGATCTACTGGGTCAGCAAGTCTGGTCATTATGCATTGATGAAAATGAGGCCATAAAAAAACACCAAGCAATTTGCAAGTTGAAATTAGTTTGATTGCTAATCTAAATTTCACAATGGGAGTGACATCAAGTCACTCAAAGTCTCCTTTTAAAATAAACTACCATACTAAACAAGCCCATCTTTGAATGCCAGTAAAAATGCAGGGGACTGGTATCTACAAAAACCTACTCCTTGTAGTGATATTTTCCATATATATTACTATATATCATTATTACTATTCTAAACAACCTTTAAAAAATATTTTATAATATGTATCTTAACTCTGGATTCATAGAAGATTTTCACATTTTTACTATGAACTGATGTGGTAGCTTGAACCTGGCCAGCCACTAAGCTGCCACCCAGCTGCTTACTCACTCCCCAACCCAGTGGAACAGGGGAGAGAATTGAAAGGGTGAAAGTGAGAAAAAGTTGTGGGTCAAAAGGAAGAGTTTTGGGTGAAAGAAAAAAACCCAACCAATGAAAACAAAAACCTACAACCAAAAAAAACCCCACAAGTGACAGAAAGGGAGTCATGCATTAACTTACCAGCAGACTGATGACCAGCAAGCCTCCCAGCAACAGCCACCTTTGAACCCGCTGCTCAGCCCACCCAGTTTTCTTGTTGAGCGCAACATTAAATGGCATGGAACATCTCTTTGGCCAGTTGGGGTCAGTTGTACTGGCTGTGTTCCCTCCCGGCCCCTTGCCCACCCCCAGCCTACTCACAGCAGGCAGGGCACAGCAAGAAACAGAGAAGGCCCTGACACTCTGCAAGCACTGTTCAGCAACAGCCAAAACACTAGTGTGTTATCAAGACTGATTAGGTCACAAATCTAAAAATAACTCTATCACAGCCAGACTCAGTAAAACTGATTATAAATCCACTGCAAATTACAAACTCACCTTGCAATCCTTAAAGGGAGTGGTCTTGGATTGATTTCTGCTGAAGTACTCATCAATGCGTGCCTGAAACTTCTTGGCAATGAGAGCACCATCTTCCCAGCTACATTCTGAATAAGGCAGACCCTGCCATTTGCAATAGTAGTCTGGATAACCAGCTGCTGATTTCTGATTTGAATGAGCTGCAGAAATACAGAGATATCCAATCAGCATTTTACTTCTGTATCTTACGAAAACACTCATTTTAGGTAATAAGACAACATAAGGTAGCTTCATAGCACAGACAGTATGACAACTTTTCTCCTTACCTGAAGTTTTGTTTTGGATTAAAGTTAATGATATTAGTGTTCTAAATTTCTTAACTACAAATGCAACATACAAGCAGTGAACATACAGAATGCTCAATACTGTTTTCTGTCCGCAAGTTTGTAACATACCAATTATTCTTTCCACTATCTGATATTGTTTATGTAGATCATCTGTAAGCTCCTGCTGGCAGTTGTAATATTCCACATCTTCTGGAGAAGCATTTTTCAGCCTGTTATGGGAATTAATTTACAACACTTATTACACTGTATAGTTCTAAAACTACGAAAATTTGGCAACTCTAAAGGTCTGAATGTAAGCATCACAGGAATGTTGCTTAGAGAGCTTCTTTGAAGGGACAACTTAGATATTCCTACCACAAAATTCTTGCATCTGGCCTAGGTGCCTCATCACTAATGACTGAGGACACTTATCAAGAGACACAACTACTACAGCTACAGGTGGTACTAGTCATGCAGCTAATTCAGAATACCTACTCTCAACAATAAGTAGTGTACTTTACAGGGTATTTTCATGGAACAGTATTCAGGGTGGCTCCCTCTATAAGAATCCATCTTATGATTAAGCCACCAAAAATCCCACCAGTATTCCTTGATTATATTAAACATACTAATAAAAGTGAACATCAAAAAGGTGACTTTAAAATGTATGGATTTCTTCAACGTTTTTGTTCTTAGGCTTGAGCCAAGAAAACTGAATTCTTCAAAGTAATCTGAAATGGGTAATGCACCAAGAACACATAATCTCTGCAGTGCTTCCTGAAGAACACTGATGAAAGTATAATGACAAAATTAGTAAAAGTTACAATTTATTATTTATTTTTAAACACTACCCATCTTGTTAATTCTCCATTTATAAACACACACACACTAAAATCAGGTTCAGAAGATTATCTTACAGGAACACGTTAGGGAGGCTTTAACTTTTAAAGTTTTTGTCTTCCTGTTGCATAGACACTTGAAATTATGCCCTCAAAAAGAGGGAGCACGTCTCAGAAACACACAAGAACATCTACATTGTTACAAAATAAGTATTGTGGAAGTCTACATAAAAATATTCACCATCGTTTTGTTTCCTGATCCTTCTTCTTATAGTTGTCCAGCTTCTTCATTCCTTTAACATTTTGTTGTTTCAGTGTTTCTTCAGTTTCCCAAGTGTTATGGATGTGTGACCAACCTTTCCATTTAATAAGATACTGTATTTCTCCTGGCTCCTTCGACTTCTCAAACCCAGCGTTTGGGTCACCATCTGCCTCAACTGCATAGATGGTGGTTGCAGCACCCGTGGCTGAGAAAGAAACCATATCATAAGCCTTAATAAAGCGTGCATTGTCAAAAGTTAACTAGTAAGAAATGTAGTGTAGAAAGCAATTAGTGATACTTTTAGATGAGCATATACTTGACTAGTATCTACAGCTCTCATGTCATTACTCTTATTTGAACAATTATGATGTAGATATGTTAACACGTGTACAAGTAGTCAAAAGAGAATCAAAAAAGCAACCAAAACTTCTGTACCTAACCTACAATATCTTATCTTTTGTCATGAGAATTTTCTTTGCATTCTTAGTTTTTAAAGTGTCACCAGGGACACTTTATGCTGCTTTATCACCTTCTCTGTTATATTGCTTTGATCTCCAAGCATACAAGAGACATCTGAGCTTGGTCAGCCTCGAGACATCAATAAGGTAGTACTAGGGATACTATAAATCTATTTCTTCCTAAACATGTTTTACTACTTTTTCTGCCTTTGTTATCTTACCTGGGAAAATTTTTAATTAAGTACAGTCTGTATCACAGCTGAAGCATACTAGCAGCAGGAAACAGGCTCATTTCTGTGAGGACAGCCAGGTAAGGAAATGAGCCCAGCAAGCTGCAGGGGCCAGATAAAACAACAGAGAGTGGCAACAGCAAAAGACAGCACAAGCAGCAACATCATCTGGGCAGGAAGAATATAAGAAGCTTAGTTCCAAAGGCTTTGACCACAGCAGTAACACTATGCATTGGACCAGGATACACTAGAATTTGGGACAGCACAGGAGAAGAAACTTGAGAGGAAGAAGAGTGCAAGTTCTGAGATGGGTCAGAAACTTTAGAGATTGGGTAAAACTAATGGAGAAATGTAGCTCTGAAGTGCAAGGGGCCCAGGGTTTGGCGGTTGGGGTGGTGGGTGGTGGTGATGCATGTTTGTGTTTGGTTTTGTAATTAGAATCCTAATTTGCAGACTCAAACACATAAGCAGAACTGCTAGATACTGCATCCCATTATTGCTGGAAATATGACATGCCTATTCACAAAATACTTTTAAGAGTTCACATGCAAGTGCACTATTGAAATTTTAGATGCATTTTGTAGTCATTCCACACATTGCACTGTATTGAGACCATTTGTACAGCAATAACTGAAATCACAACCTCAGTGGTTCAGCCTTGCCAACACCATCTTTCAGGGTTCAGGTTACTAGTCAGCTCTCCTATTTAGTCCACCTTCTCCACTCCACTGTATATAATTTATACTGATCACATAAGACTACTCCATACAAAAAGTGGTGTAACAATATGGTATGCATTTATGCAATACAGAGCTATCTTCCACTTCATTTTTATTTTCTACTTTGGTGTGCAACTTTTCTACATTTTACTCTGCAACACTTAGGTACTTTAAAAAGGAACATCCTTATGAATATGAAAGACAAAACAAGATGACTTTTTGGTAACTTTAAAATTATTGCTGTTTATAAACCTCACAGGTGACCAACAGCTGAAAACTTTTACTGAAGTTGCACCACAATGCACTTCAGGATCTTAAGACCACCACCACCAAAAACAAACAAACAAACAAAAAAAAACATTACCTCCTTTTCGGCCAACTCTACTATCCATGAACTTCTCTATAGTTTCAAATTCATCTTCTTCAGTTTGTGGGACATCTTCTCCACAAACTTCCAGCAAATCATCGGAATCTGTCTTGGTTTCTTCAGCTTCTTTGTAACTAATGTTGACAGTTGCCTGACGACGAGATCCTCTCTTATCATAATCATCATCATCATCCTCTTCCTCCTCCTCATCCTCCGATGAATCAAGTTGCCTCTTTTTCAGTCCTGCACTCTTTTTGCCACTTTTTGGCTTAATTCTTGGAGACAATAAGATATGACACAACAATGATGTTTCAACAGGGACAACTATGTATCTTCTGTATTGCTTTCTGAATACATGTATTTCATGAATGCTCAGTTACTCCTCTTTCAGTTACAGCAGACAGGAAAAGGTATTCACTAGAAAGCATCAGTATATTAACACCTTATGCAGCTTTAGAATTTTTTTTTTTAAATAAGCATTAATGTTTCATTTGCATGTATAGTAGGAGTAAATAGTTGATTGCTTATTAGAAATAGTACCAGAGAACCCAATGCATGACTTCTTACCTGCTTGGGGGTTTCCGGCTTTTGACCTTGTTTTTTGGCTCATAGTCAGATTCACTCTCTTCACAACTGCTTTTCTCCCTATCTTCTTCTGATTCAGAATCGGAACCAGTTCCAGATACCGACCCTGAACCTGACATTTGCCAGTCTTCACTATACATATTGAAAGACAAAAGAGTAATTTACATTGGTGGTGGTGTTTGTTTTGTTTTTTTTTTTTAAATCAGGTATTCATCCACAGGGTATCTGCTGCAATTTCAACATTCTTCACAGAAATAAAAATCTTGTAACAGTTATTTCAGCTGATGAGACAGAAAATTGTCATCAATTAATAACAGATGAGTAAAAATGCCCAATTGCTTCAAAGGGAGTTGGACTAAGTTTTCTGTTATCAAGTTAGATTTAAAATCTAAATTAAAACAAAAATTTGGATTTCTATATAAATTTCAGCACGAAGAAATAAGTTAACATGACATTAAGAAACCAAAGCACTTAACAACCCTAACTGGAAGTATACATATTTATCAGAACTTACGCATGCTCAAATCATAAAGCCCTGTCATGTTATATTCTGGAGAGTCACATATTGTCTAACTCCTACAGTCCCTGTGGCCCACGTGAAGAATCAGCAACTTTGCAACAGGAATCAAAAAATAATACAGGCAGGTTTGAGAAACACCCAGAAAAACATGAATTGCAGTAACCTGTGAGTGGCACTGGCTCCCAAAAGCTCCCACTGAGCTCCCAGTTGAGTGCTTTTACAACAAGGCAAGATACTATGAGTAAGACACTTGTGACTGAGCAGCAGGATTTCCTTGTTCCTGCCTGAGATCTTCTACTTGCAACAGGAAGATGTACCCACTGATGAACAGTACCTTGCTTCAAACTCTGACTTTATACAGGCAAATTTAATCTTAATAGCTTCGTGAAAAGAAAGAAAGAAAAAATATGTGGTCTACATTATTGAAACCTTGCTAAATCTTTATACTATCATCTGGTTTAGGTTTACTTGACCAAGATGCTACAGCAGTAGTAATGTCCAAAGCTGGAATATTACCAAGAAATCTCTTCTTGAAATTTCCAGTCAGGAAGCCTAGGAATCAGGGCTTTGATCCCTCTCTTCTCTCTTTCCTGTCTTCCAGGACATTGGGTCCTGGAGGAAATTACATTCCCATTGTTCCAGTCATCCAAGAAAAATACAAATATGTGTCTATTGTACAGATGGCACATGGCCAATGGTACAGAATGTCTTATTAAAATACTTTTTCTGCAAACAGTAAATTAAAAAAATAATGTCAATCCATGACCTGTATTTATTTGGAAATATAAAAGTAACAGATATAAAGCACCATCCTTTAAGGCTTGATCATGTACCAAGTTATATACTGAGAAGTCTCTCATCTGCATGTCAGATAACTGCAGACATACTTGTTCAGAAGATCCACAGGACAAAAATTCAAGTACTGGATATATGAAGTGATTACTTAAATGTCCTTCCTGTAACAGAGTATGCTATTAGATGCAATCTAATTCTTAACTAACAAAAGACTGTGACTAACAGCTCATTGCTAGGAAAGTACCATTTTGCATAGTTAGTGCCCTTTTTTTT